ATTTGAAAAATAAATAAAAAAAAAAAGAAAAGAAAAAGGGTGGGGCTTGGGGGGCATTGATTGTACCTTGAAAAAGTCAGAGTGTGGCAGTGCAGTGGCAAGAGAAGGATTTGGTTGATCAATGTGCAGCACTTCCAAAACCCTCTTCTTTTCTTCTTCTTCTCTTTTGCAATTATCCTTTGTTATTATTAATATTCTCCCACCCATACTCTTCTTCTGCTGCATGTAATCATCATCATCATCTTCTTTGTACGGATTGCTGACTGACTCCTCACATATTCCTCCTTGTCTGCTTCCTATATTTTTCTCACTTTTTGCCCTATCATTTTTATTATTATTTCCACATTCATTTATTTATATTAATGTATAAATAATAAACGAACCTGAAATTGGGCTCGAGCTTGGCTCATTAAGACCTCGAGCTCGAGTCTTAACAAAGCCGATCTCGGGGTTTAACGAGCCGAACTATAAAAAATTATATAAATTCTATTTTTTAGCCTTCACGAGACTTATCGAGCCGAGTTGAGCTCGACTCGTTAACCAAGCGAGCTTCGAAAGAGCTCGAGCCAGGCCCGTTAAGGCCTCGAACTCGAGCCTTAACGAGCGGAGCTCGTTTAATTTAACAGCACTAATAGCGAAACATAAACTCATATAATCGTAACTGTAAAATTCTAAAAAACAAATAATATTGTAATTGCCTGATCATGAAGAAAGACAATACTCTTCTTATTTATTATGTTAAAAAAAAAAGTTGTATAGTTTTGACACACACCAAAATACTAGTGTTATTAAAGTGAAAAATAAAATAATAAAAAAAAACTTAAAAAATGCTTTTATGTTTTGACCTTTTTGAAGGGGGAGCAGGAGAAATGAACGTAAGATCATCATCACGAAGTTGCTGCTGATTCCTTTGTCGTGAAATGCACATATCTGAGAAAACAAAAAAGGGGATTTAACCAAAGGTCACACATTTGCAATTGCACCACAAATAAAAAAATAAAGATAATGAAAGAATCAACTTTAGAAGTATAATAAAGAGAAAATAGTTAGTTAATTTGTGGCATGATTATTAGCTAGGCCTTGCAGGTACAATCATTGTGGATAGTTTTCTTGGGAAAGTTAAGAAAAAATCATAAATATAATTAAGAAAAAAAAAACATTTATTATGTAATAATAATAAAAATGTGGTGGATGTTAAATTTAGAAAATAAAAAGAGAGGTATGGTTTCATTGGACGTATGCCATTAATAGGAGATTTGATACGACGCAAAAACAAAAAAAAAGAAATAATAATAATAATAATAAATGAAGTTGGAATGGGATATCATCCAATGGCATGAATTTTGATAGATATATGAGAAATTGTGGAGCTTAGCAAGAAATTAATTAATGCAAAGTATGTATATTACATAATAATTAAAATATGAGAAAAATGTGTGTGTGTGTGTGTGTGTATACTAATACTAATACTAATACTAATACACACACCAGCAGGTGCAGCAGCAGCAGCAGGTGGTCCGGTGGGTTGGGTCTTGATGCTTCTATACATCTGTAGATGGCTTTTGACATGAGAAATGGTGAGGCCTCTGACGTCCATTAGCTGAAGAAGGAGCTTCGGAGTAGCTTTGTTATGGCCGCCCAAAGTGTTAATGGCGTCAACAAAGCACTTGTGAAGGTCAGGCGTCCATCTCAGCCGTGGCACCTTTGATCTCACGTACTGTCTCACCCCTGCACCACCACCTGCACCTGCTGCTGCATTCATCCTCCTCCTATACTATACGACTCTTCCACTGCCGCCCTTTTGTATTCTCTTCTTCTTCTCTCTCTCTCTCTCTCACTACACAACAAACAAATACAGTACTAATCTCTATGTCTTTGCTTGCTTATATAATTTCATTAATTTGTAAGAATAAAAAGAAAGATCACGGGGAGGACTGAGGAGTCTTCTCATCTCCTTCTATTAATATCATCATTACCAAAATACAAATTATTCCAATTCTTGCGTTGCGTTGCTTTCACTTTCACCTCTCTCTCTCTCTCTCTCTCTCTCTCTCTCTCTCTCTCACACACAAATATGTAGTACTATAATTATTATAGGTACGGATAATAAAATCATTTTCGATGTATGTATTAGAATTTGGGACCATACATACCACATTCTAATTTCACTTTCCAATTTTTACTTTACTACTCCAACAAATTTAAACATGCTAACATACTTCTGTTTCAAATTTTATGACAAAATCATTTTAAATTTAAAAGTGGATTATAAAAAAAAGTATATTTTGTTAGAAAGTTGACAGTTGACCATGAAGACTCCCAATAGCCTACGAGGCAGCAGGCCTCACAGTAGTATTGTGTGGCTCATATATGGATGTAAGTAAATACCGCCCCTTTTTATTAAATACCACATCTAAAAAGACAGTTTTACCTTGTTCAAATTTTAAAATATTTTTCTGTTTTGCTGGCCGGCCGCAACTCGATCGGCTGGCCGCTGATAGCGGCAGCAACTCGCTCGGTCGGCCACTAATAGCGGCCCCAACTCGCTCGGCCGGCCTAAGGCCCGACCGGCCGCTCCTAAGGCATGTCAAATCTTAGGTCATTTTGTTAGTAGCATGCTGTAAATTGATAAATCTGCAAATTTTTATGACATCTCTATATATGTGTTGATAGTACTTGTATCAATTTTAGCCCAGGTAATGTGAATTGTGTGTTTTAAAAATGTTGGAGTCTCTGAATGTCAGCCTGCTATTCGATTCGAGGTATCTCAGTATACACTCATGATATTTGTTTGAAATTTTATAAGTATGTCTTGTAAGAGTTGTTATTATCCTTGTTAAATTTCAGCTTCAATTAATTTGTATATCATGCTATAGAAATTCTTAAACCGAAGCATGGCATTCATTTTGAATCCGTCGAAAGAAGTGTTACTTTGAATGATTGTATTCAAGATTTTCGCCTTAATAAATACCATGCATTCAGTCATTTATCCATATGCAATTCAACAATTATAGGTAAGGCATTTTCATCTCACAGACAGTGGTTGTCCCACAACGGCTGAAGTAGTAAATAAATTGCTATATAAATGTTTTAAAGTTTCATTTGAGTTACAAAAAGAGTTGGTTGGTCTAACCGGACGGTTTTCAACTGGTTCTGACCGCTCTTCTGCAATCGGTTCTCTAAGCTTTATCTGAATGTTAATTAAATTATTTATATAAATTCTATTATATAAATTCTCAGGTAAAATTATTATGATATTACAAATATTAGGCCGACAGATTTTTTTGCATTTGCATTTGCTTTTGCGGTCTGATATTCCCTACGTAATTATAGATTACATAGAGAGCTACCTAGATGTTGTCGTGGATGGCAACCACATGTTTTGCGTGCTCGCAGATTACGTATATGTCGACCAGAAGATGTGGTCAGTGGCAAGAGACTGCATTGCAAATGAGGTTGAAGCCTCTCGTTCCATGTACACTCATATATAGTATATTGAGGTCCACATTGAACTCAGACGAATAAAATGGCAAGGTCCCTTGTGGCAGGGAGCACTTTATGAAAGTTATAGCCGACTTGTTCCCTATTGCTAAATTATTTAATGCAGTTGTAATTTTGTACGACCTTGGGAGCAATGGTGACGATATCAGGACTAATTGTATGATAGTATTACCGCTTCATGCACAATCCACGGCTACACGACCAAAACACGAGATTGTCATTTGTCATCTTGGTTCTTATCCATATTTTATTCGTCTGGATCTATCTACTAATTTTTCAATACCGATTGTTTGTCATTACTGGTTAGATAAGACGATTGAACGTTGGGAGTGTTTCTACCAGAACAGGGTCGAATCGTGGAATAATATTTTTAATGCACATTGACACATCACTTTAATGTATGTGTAAATGTACATAATCATGCATTATTACGTATATGTTGATTGTTATGAATTTTTTTTAGTTTGAATGTGAATAGCATTTGAAAATAAGTAAAAATCAAATGAATTAACAAAAAAAAAAAAAACATAAAACATAAAACCTCATGAATGTTTAACAATAAAATCAGACATCAATGCTCATTACATCACTGTTGCGTTCTGTCCCAATCTGCCTTGCACTGAGTCAATATAGTTGCATAACGCTCTTCCAAACTAGGAGAAACCTCATCGCAATCCGAGTGCCAGTATGACGTTATGGAGAAGAGACGATTGACCCATTAGACAAAACGGGAGAATTAATATATAATATCACATATATATTGAAGTGAATAGATTTCACCCGGGCTCCTTCAACTCAAATGGCCTCTGCACCTACAGAACCCAACGCCGGGATTGGCCCCGGCGTCGGGCCTCCAATGCTTAAGTCAGTGCTCAGATCCAGAGAGAGAAAAGTAATGAAAATGAATAGAGAATGAGAGAATGAGGTACCTTAGCCCCCTTTTTATATGGGGAGTGTACCTTTGTGGGCTCAAGTTGGGCTTGGCCCATATCGTGATACTTAGTCCATACGTGGGCTTATCTTCCAATATATGTTCGTTTTCTCCATTAAACCGGCTATAGTATAACATCATATATCATATATTAAAAAAATATTGTAATGAAAGAACATTAACTAAAACTCAATAAACGACTTACATAATAGGTATTGCCATGCGTTGGGACCGCGTGCTCGTCTGACAGACTATCACCCAAGAGAATATGACGGGAAAGTCGGGCGTACCATTCCATATACCGCTCATCAGGCTCCCCTTGATGACGTGTGGTAGGAGTGGAAATAGTCATGTCGATGCGCGACAACATTGGGAACTGGTGCCAAGAATCTACTGCAGTCGTATCAACATGATGAACTTAGTAAAGATTAGACTCCCAAGCATGTACTGCTCCGATTGGACGGGACATACGAGGATGGATAGTCTGGACGAAGCTTAGTTGACGCAAAAACCGAACATGCAAGTATGGTCCACAATATCGTGGTATCTAAGGCATCCACAATAAAGGGTCCTCGACTCTATCGAAGTTGGGCTGGAGATGTATGCCAACCATTGCACCTGTTTACAACTGCATAAAAATATATACTAAAACAATCTGATTATTTAAAAGAAATTTTAACTAAATTTAAATAAAATACTTAACGTACATGAGAGGCGGTGAGAGTGTCAAGGCACTGACGGATAGAGGTGAGAAGATGTTCTCATCTCTCCATCACCCCTACGTTTCACGAGAGAGATCGTGCCACACAGTCAACACCGGTGATCAGATGCTAACACTATGGTCGGAAATAGGGGAAATACTCATATATAAAAAACTGCAGAAGAGTGAAACACCAGAAAGTTCCTGCGCGTCTCCTTGAGGAGTACCTAATTGTATGTAAAGGTAAGCCAGTGCATCCAAGACACATGAATAAGTCCCAGCACTATCCAAGTCCTCGATGATGTCGTGTAGGAATTTGGGCTCACCCTGCTACAACTCTTGTCCACAAACAATGTGGTACCTAACAACACCCACACCCAGGCAGTAGCCTGATTCACAGGAGACAGAGTTGTCCCCTGACAAAATCAAGAAAACTGTCAACGTACCATGCTGCTAGAAAGACTGCATCATCTCAGCTTTTGTGAGCTACAACATCTCCATGCAGTAAGCCTGACAAGAGCTAGTGTCGGGGTCCTCAGTAAATCTCTCCCTCCACAGGAACTCCCAAAGTCTCTCGAACATCGTGTAGTATGATACTTATTTCACCAAATAACATGTGAAACGACATAGTATGAAGCTGCCGACGGTCGATAAATACATAAAAAAATGGACTATCCACATGAGTATGCATGAAATCGACACGATGTGACAGCCCGATCCGACTTATCAAATCGCGTGCAACGCGAGGCATAGCAGGGAGCCAACTCCTCC